AGCACCCCTCCAGGGTAACCACCCCGTGTTTTGGGGTGCTGGTCTGCTTGCTGAGCGCTTGCAGGCTGCTTCCCAGCCCATGCTGCTGAGGGTCCGACTCCCAGCTCCAGGGCCAGGCTGCAGTGGTACCTTGCCCAAATTGGGGTGCAGGGTGTGTGAGCCCTTGCATGTTCCAAAAGGTGCCCCGTTTTTGCAAAACGGTGCCCTATTTTGCACCCTGCCATGCTGGGGGTCTTGCAGATGCCCTGCTGTCCCTTGCAGCACCCTGTTCCCCAAAGCCCCCTGCTCTGCAGAGATGGGGTGGGTACACGCATCCCTGTCCCATGGCGTCGTCTCGGGATGGTAGAAGTCCCCTGGGCCACGCTGAGCTGCAGGAAGGGTGGAGGTTTGGGGGTGGCGGGGGGAAGCCCCTTCAAGCCCCCTACTTGCGGGATGCACCGAAACACCCTCCTGGACTAACCCAGTGGAGTGCAAAATATGGGTCATCTGGAAAGTAGCTAACAGTTCATAGAAAACTCCACAGAGTACCTCAGAGAGGCAATGCTCGCTATGCACCCCATCTGCCTGCTGTTTTTCTCCCTGCTTCCTGTCCTCCACCCCTCTACCCCCGGTTGAATACTAAATAGAACTTTTGTGGGAAGCAAGAGCCGAGGTAGGTAAGAGGATGTCTTTTCTTCCAGAATACCCTGCTGTTGAAATCGTGGTATCCGAGAGCATAAATGTGGTAGCAGCTCCAGGGTTTCTGATGTATCAAACAGAAGACGATGGATCTATTTTTCCTCTCCATCACACCAGGGAAATGGTGGGAAACTCTGCTTGCTTCCATGGATCTGAGGCAGAGCAAGATCAGATTTGGACCTCTGATTTCAGTTACAGCCTAAATTGCAGGAACAGACACATTCCTGAGCAGCAAAGATCATGTTTTCAATATGGAACAGGAAAATAAAGTAAAACAATAATAATAAAAATAAATAAGACAAAAGAAACTCGTAAAATGTAGATGATGTATCAGAAGAATTAATTTGGAATGGATTTCTTTGCAATTTTTTCCAGTATGTATCAACACTCATTAATGGAAAAAATAATGTCTGGTTTGATTGGAAAGTGTTCCTTGGTAGGAGAAGGAATTTTGGCTTGCCTGGGGCTGACTCCACAACTGGTAGGTAATGTTTATAGTGGAAAGACTTCCCCAGGCAGCCCCTGGGGAGAGCCTGTGCTTGCTTTCAAAAGGAAAGGTTTTCAGGTGCAGCACAGAAGTCGGAAAGCAAGGTAGTTCTGCAAATAGATTTTTAATCCAATTTAAAACCCTGGTGCATTGGATAGGATGGGTGCCTCTGCTGCTCGCACCCCAAAGCCAGGTTTCCAGAAGGGCTCAGTGCTGGTGGCTGGGGCTGCGGGTTGGCAACTGTTCTGCATCTATGCCCTGGAGGTCCCACGGGTCTGGGGGCTGGGATCGTGTCTGCCAGCCCCACAGACCCGAAGGCAGATACCACCCTCAACTGAGTTAGGGCAAGCAATGTTTATACTGGGGAAACCTGAGTAACCATCCCCCGCCTGCCCCATGAGGGAAATAAGCTCGATAGTGGTGCTGATGTGAGAGAAATAAACTCGATAGTGGCACCAATGTGAAACTATGCCTCGGAGGGCAAACCACCCCTTGTAAGGGGTATTTGGTTTGTATTTCCAAGTATGAAGGGAAACCATCCCTGAAGACTAGAGGGGCATCTCTGCTCTCCAGCTGCAAAAAGCATGGTTTTCCCAGCAAACAGGTTTCCTGCTAACAGCACCAGCTCCTCCGTGTCCTTGCACTGCATTTACAGTGGTAAACTGCCATGGATTTGCAGGGATGCATGGAGCATGGGAGGGCTGTTGGGCTGTGGGGCTGAGCATCCAGTGTGTGCTGCCCAAAGGTCCTATAAGTGCCTGAAAAAAGCTGCTTGGGGAGGGAGCGGGGCTGCATTTTAGTCTGTGTTTGAGAGCACCAGGAGCAAGGGGAATGGACCCGAGCTTGCAAAAGCGAGCAGAGCTGCTTGTTGCTGCCTCTCCCTGCCCTGCTGATGTGTGGTAATACTTACTCTACATCTTCTTTTTGCCCTGCCATGACCATCAAAGGCAGGACTCGATTTCTAGGGTAGTGAGGTGTTTCCATGGGGTGGGACTTGGTCCTTCCAGGGGTTGGGGAGACAGAGGGGTTTGGGGGGCAGACTGTGTGGCTGTATCTCAAAATGCCCAATCTCAGCTGGCACAGGCTTTTTGCCTTTGGGATAACCACTGGCCCCATCCCATACAAGTATGGCAAGAGACATGGAGCTCCTGGGCTTCACGCTGCAGCCATGGTGGCAAAAAGATGCAGCCGTGTGGCATAGTCCTGGTCCTGCTGAGTGGCTGCTGCTGCTCGTGCTCTTGGCCGTGCCTCTCTGGGCTGCGCGATGCAGAGCAGGAGTGGGGTCCTGCAGCAGAGCAGCCCCTGGCTCCTCTGCATGCAGTGGCTATGCTAAATAAATAAATGAACAGCCCCAGCCTCCTGCCTGGCTTCTGCGAACAAGCCCAAAGGAGTGTTTGCACAACAAAGCGAGACAGGATTTCTCCCTAAGGGAGCTGTTGCTGTGCGTAACCTCTAAATGTGCAAAGCTTTTTACTATCAGACAGGCTTCATTAGGGGAAATTTATGGTGAAACTCGGCTGTGTCATAATTATAAAGTATAAGCCTGGCTCCAAAGAGCATCGCTCCAGAGCTGCTGTGTATGTGTGTACTCTTTACAGCCGCCGAGTCCCCTAGCAGCACTTAGTGCCAGAGCTAAGTACAGCGTTGACAATACTGCAAATATCTTCCCTTGGAGCAGACCAAAGGCTCAGTCTATGTGTGCACAGACCCGGGTGAAATGTGATCTGGCTCTCCTGAAGGAAGAGGGAGTTTGAGACGTTTGCGGGGGGAGCCACGTGGTACGAAGGTACTGCTGGCTAAGGAGGACGGGTTGGATGCATCCTTCCTGCTACCACAGCAGGGCAGGAAATGAAGGTTGTGAAATAAAAACTCCGATATAAAAAATAGTTTTGGTGAAAGTTTAATGCCCCGTTTAAATGTGGCATCTACTATGATGATGCTTCCGTTCCACTGCCATTACCAGGCTCCTAAAATTTCTGAATTAGATGAAAACAATGAACACAAACTGGGCTTTGGAGGCAGTGCTTATTTGCCATAGGAAGCCTGTGGTCCTGTTGTCCCCTAGGCAGGGCTTGGCCAGCAAATCACCCTTCAGCCCCTCTGCTCTGCAAAGGAGAGCATTTGGATTTCTGCCACCCTTCCCTCTGCCTGCAGTAGGAAGCAGGGAAAGTTTTGGTGCCCTGGCAGTAAAGGTGATAGCATTTCCACACGCTCAGACTGTTCTTCAGTTCCTCTCTGTTGGGGGAGCTGCCAGGGGTACAAATTTTTGGAGCAAACTGAAAGAAGAAAGGTGTTGCTGTGCTTACTGCCGTCCTCCTTACTATCCACTGCTATAGAGAAAAGCATCATCTCTCCTTTCAGAAATCACCCTGTTGCAAATTGCATCCAGCATTGATTGTACGGCCTCTGCTGTCACCAGGTGTAGTTAAGAATTTGGGGGTTTTTGTTGGTTTTTGTTTTTTTTTCCCCTTGCCTTTCATGTGACTTAGGGGATAATTCCTTAGTGCTTTTGTGCAGCAGCCACTGACTGTGATCTGGTGCGTGCATCTTCCACATGCTGCCTTTGCAAAGGCAGCTGTGTTTCGCCTTGCACTTCTGCTTTGTGGACTCTGTTTCCTTATCCATTGTGCTGCACTGCAGCAGTGGCCAGACGTGGCAGGCGGATGTTTCCCAAAGCACTCACCCTGCAGTGGCAAGTTTATAATCAAAAGCAAAAAGGAGCAGCGAGCGAGCCGCGCAGATAAGAGGCAGGAGGTAAGGAGGGTGAGGCTTTAGGGATAAGACAGTTGGAGCAGAGCATGGTTTCAAAGTAATTGGATACGCTAACGTCTGAGTTTTGTGCAGGAATGTACATCTGTTTCTGAACAGTTACCAGCTGATGTGCCCGCTC